AAAGAAGGAGGGACAGAGGGAAAGAAAGAGGAAGAGAAGGAGCAGGGGGCGGGACTTGTTGCATGTGCCCGCCCCCTGGGCTCTTTACTGCCGGAGCGCTGCTCCTGTGCGCTCCTGCAGGAAATGACCCCTGTTCCCACTAGATATTTTAAATTAAAGAAACAACTACAAACCACCATAGCCTGCAAGAAAAGGCTGTCATATACTAAGAAATGGGACTTATTAATTAAACCATCTTTATCTAAGGATAGCAAACGATTCTGGGCTGTAGTAGCTGGAGAATTTAGGAGGTAAACCGTCATCCCTTATCTACCCTATACCTTCTCAAACTTGGACAGGTTATTTCTTAAACATCTTTTTGTCCACAGATCTATCTGAGCAACAAGAGGTCCACCCTCCCTCTGAGTTGCCCGAATGGGCCCCCGTTAGTCCAACTGAAATTAAAAACTTAATAAATACATTAAAGGCTAGAAAGGCTATCTGCAATTGCTAGATTTTTTTACGTGACGGGCAACCAATTCGTTCCTCCTGCTGTACGAGTCTTCAGTGCCAAGGTTGTGTCCCAAATTCTGTATGGGATCCCCATCTGGATCGGCTCCTTTAATCAACCTGTTGAGCAGATCCAGGCGATTTTCTTGAGGCGTATCCTAGGAGTTCCAAATCGGGCAAGTTATGCAGCCATGTGCCTGGAGACAGGGCAACATCTCCTTGAGACCAGAGCCTGGCTATCAACTTTAAAATTTTGGTCACGTCTCCATTTTAGAACGAAACTTAATAGCTATGTTCGCCTACTACTCTCAGACACATTTACATCCAACTGGACCAATTCAGTTCAGGAGAAAAATACAATCAATCGGCATTTCCCTTGACTCCCTCCTTCTGTCAGGTGAAATCTCAAATGTTCAGGTCTTTGAGGCAGAGAATGCTCGATATTGAAAAGCAAACTCTCTGTTCTAGACTTACCCCTTCCCCTCTGAAGCTTAACATAACCCCGAGAAATGGGCTTATAGCTGATTACTTCTTACAGCTTACTCCTCCGTCACTAAGACGAGCTTTTATGTTAGCACGTTTCGATGCCCTACCATCAGAGGTCCTTTACGGCAGATTTACTAACACCCCCTACCCATGTAACAGCAGGAACCCAGAATCGATTGCTCATATCTTGCTCAGCTGTGAATTTTATAATAGGATTCGGGATGTTTTAATCACGCACCCCCTCCTGCACAACAAGCACAGTCTACCTGAAGAGAGACTTATATCTTTCCTTTTATCAGATATATTCGTCCTCACATTACCTTCTCAGTAGCGCCATTTCTTTCTATCGCTATCAGGGTAAGTGTTGGGTATTACAAGTTGAAAACACTCAGTATATCTGGGGTTAAATGTTTGTTTATGTTACTCACAGGAAGTCACATGTTTCTAATGTAACCAATGTTACACTCCATGTTACACTCCATGAAACTGCAGAGCGGTCGGGTTAGAATGGATAAAAGGAAGTACTTCTTCACCC